GAATGGATTAGCACCTGTTTACTTGAATGTGACAGCAACAACTCAAGTTATCCTTCCCAGTGCATGTCTTAAAGTAAGCAAAGAAACAACAGCTAGTAGTAAACTGGGTTCCAGTTTACAGCTTACAGAAATCACTGGAAAGGATGCATTTTCTTTGTTATCATTTGGTCAGATCCTTATTCTGTAAGTCTTAAAGACCTAACAAAGATTTGTAAGTTCGCTGAAATAGCTCCCTTACTCTAAAATCAATCTCTCCTAATTGGAAAAATTTACTTTATAGCTTGTGAATTCAGAAATTGTATTGGCCATAGTTTTTACAGCTGTGCTAAGGCTGTGATCATATTAAATAAGGAATCAATTTTTTTCAAAGCAGATATTATACAAGGAATTTGAGCATATAATCACATTCATTTTCTTCATATTCTTTTGCATGATTGGACTTCTACAGTTATTTCCCTATGGTCTAGTGTCACTTATGCCACTCATGCCTTTATTCATATTTATTTTTTTTCTTTAATCCCATTTTAATGCCATTTTTGTGGAGACTAATGTCTCCTTAAAATATGGCTTCTCAATCAACAATAAGGAAAAAAAAATGGACCTCAGAAAAAACATGCTGCATGCAGTATCTGTCCTAACCCAAGATATGAATATTAGCAGAATTGACTAGTTCATGGTTAGTACTTTAGCATCAGCCACCATTATTTGCTTTTAAATTGTCTGTGTTGTTCCTGTAGGCTTCCTTTGAAGCTGTAATTTGGAGATCTGTGAAGTCACTGACTTGCTGATTCAGTCATTCATTCAAAGAACTATTCATTACATGTGTTTTGGTTTACTGTCGACTACCTGCCTACAAGTCTGCAGAGTGAGTCCACAATCCTTCGAAGTGACAGAAAAGGAGAGAAATTTATTTCGATAGCATTGAGCGAAGCAGGCAGAGGCCAAATTTGAGCCCAGTCCAGGGGACCCAAGTTAAGCAGATATGCTTTGATTTCTGTGTCTTACGGAATTCCTGCCCCGTCTCTCCCTGACTCCTGGCAGCAAAACCACGTTGCTGCGTTTTGGCAGCATTTCAAGTAGGGCAGCAGTGGGGATGCCGAGCGGGACCTCTGTGCTTCCCACGAGGTTTGGGCAGGAGGAGCGCTTCCTCCTTCCCTCATTCCTCCTACGCTCTCCCAGCATGGATTTTTCACTTACATCGTCTTAAAATTAACACTGCACACACATAACCTAGGATGTCATAATTTCAGGAAATAACCTTTATTCTCTAAGCAACATCACTGTAAATTCCCTGCTCTTCATCCTTGATTACATGAATAGCTAAAATTAAGGCATGGGGACACCTTAATTTAGAGTCATGAGAAATAGGATATATATTTGAGATACTGAAGCTAATGAGTAGTTTAAAACAAAACCAAAACTCCTCCTCTTGATGAGACACTGCGTACTTGAGGCACATTTTTATTTTGGATTTGTCAGTACTGACACTCGCCACTTGAGGGAGTAACGTGTTAGGCTCTACGTGAGCTCAGGTCTGAGCTCTTTTACCCGTAGAGACCTTGCCGTCACACGAATTTCCATGGGTGTTTGTTGTTTTTTTTTTTTTTTTTTTGCTCCTGTAATATTTCACACAATTTTAAAATCCTCTCACGAGGTCCCCTGGCAGTGTGGGGAGCTGGTGCATGGGCCGTGGTCGGACAGCTCTTGGAAATGGCCGTGATAACATCTCTGAGTTAGTATACGGGGCACTTGTTTCTTCCGAATTTAGTGTATGTGGGAAGAGAAGAGGTTTTGATCCTCTGCTTTAATCCATTCTTGTTTTTCTGAATTATTTATTGTTTACAAGTGATGAGGAGAGTTTGTTTGCATTTCTGAAGAGTAGCTGTGAGATGTTATAATCTCTAGGGCAAAGCACCTGTTTTCAAATTGAGGGCAGAAATCCAACATGCAAAGTGTGTTTTTTTTTAATGACAGAAATAATGAGCGAATATGGCAAAAGAATTTTTTTAATACACCAAAGAATAGGATTCTTTCATATTAATGATGTGTACTGAATGTTTTGTTCATGATGTGTTTTGACTTTTCATCTATATAACTTCATCTTAACAAATGAACTTCTTCCCCTTCATTATTAGTTGAAATAATGAATCTGTTGATAAAATTACCAATTACTCTGATATATTTCAGCTTTCTATAAAAGCTCAGGAAAGCGACTGAAGCAGAATGTGCTCTTTATCACAAGGAAAAAAAAAAGAAAAAAAAAGGAAAAAAAAAAGGGAAAAAAAAGAAAGGAAATTTTTTAACTGCCTCCTACTTTTCACTACAGACAAGGTCAAAGCAATGGTTGAAAAATTCCATCGTGTTGTTTCCATTATACCTCACGTATCCGTTCTGTATTACATGTATATTTAGTGATACACGGATGGCAACCAAGTGTGTGCCTTCTGTATCCCTATGCAATGTTGGTAAGTCTGAAACTTGTTCTTTTCCTTCTGTCTTCTAGAAGCAGCTGCATCGTGACAGCTCATGTCAGCTTGAGCATATCCATGGAATAAGGGCCGGGGATTTCAATCCCCAGAAATCTGTACAACATCCATGTAGAACATGAATGTTGTCAAGGATGTGTTTTCCTGGGCTTCCCCATTCTTGTTTTTATTTGCTTTTGATTCTATTACTAATGGTGTGATCAAGCATTGATTTTTTGTTATTGTTCTCTCTCTCTCTTTTTTTATTTTTTTCCTCCAGCAATTCCTTGATCTAAGCTTTATTCTATATAAAATACACAAAAGAGTAAAGAAGCGGATCATAGCCTTAAGCTTCAGGCCAGAATTTGGTGTCTTTAGAAATGTGCTTGGAAAAATCCTATAGGATATGGCTCACTATCCTGCAGCAAGAAATTTCATAGTCCACCTCCTCTTCATGAAGAGTTGGCCCTTGTGTTTATTGTATGAGATAATCTATCACTGCCACTAACCTTACTCCCCTTAAGCACCAAGTTTTGCAGAATTCGCTGGCTCCTTGGCTGTGAGAGCTCCTCCTTGCTGAGGACCCAGCCTTTCTTTCCTCTATTCTCATTGATGATTCATCCACTTGAGACCATTTCCTCTTATCCTGTGTCTGTTGAGTGTCCTTAAACTAACTTGTTGAGTATGTTGAAAACCCTTTGAAAAGCTCAATGGCCAGTATCGGTGACATCTCCGGTATTTACAGGAGTGCCAGACTTTTCTGCTAATGGAAGTTTTGTTAGATATTAACACTCATCCTTGTTGAGCAGCTTTTAATGGTTTGCTTAATAATTAATGGTGTGCTAAGAGAGAGGAAAGCTGCTGTTTTTGACTATTAACATCATCCTGCTGACTGGTGGCTACTTTTGTTTCATGTAAACTTTAACCAGCTTGAACGAGTGACCTTTTATCTTTACTACTGTGCTGAGTTGGGGTTCATCTACCAAAGGATCACTAAACATTTAAAAAAAAAAAAAAGTTAATAGTGTGTATTACAGGCAACAGTGCAGCACGTTTTCTGTTTGGAGAATGTCACTTTGCATTATGTTTGTGATGTAAAGATGATGTTATGAAGTGCAACATAATTCGTACACCTGCAAAAGAATGATTAAAAGAGAGGGGGGGAAAAGTACCTATCTGGCAGGTGTTCATTACTAATAAAATATTCTCTATTTTCAGCTGTTTCAGGTAGTAGATGGTTTTAGACAAACGTTCCTGTCACAGACATCAGGTATTAGTAAAATAGCTGTCATTAGAAAATAAAATACCTGATATTAGAGGGAGAAAAAAAAAGTAACACAGGAGGGTTATTTCTGACTCGGGTGCTTTATGGAATATGAAGCATCTCACGTCGTACTGAACAGTGTTGGAATATTAGTCTCTTACTGAGAAAACAGTGTTTTGAATTGCAGGAAGTGACCTCCTAAAAACGGAAGGAAGGAAAGGAAACGAGCCTATGGCAGACGAGGGACGGGAGATGAGGAAAAGAATCTCCGTAGAAGCGCAGGGGCTAAAGCGGAAAAAGGTGGAGATTTTGGCCAAGAATGAGAAGCGCAAGGAGGGGCGGAATGGAAGCCCCGGGCACCCACCGCGCCCCGCTGCCCTCAGCGCCCCCGGCGGGCCGCGCCTCTTTCCGGGGGGGGG